CCTGTAGGACTCTGATGGATACTTTGATTGAAAACTAGCTAGTTAGTTACTAGTGTTATACTGTTATACAGTTTGACAAAATGCGAGCATTGGGTATATGATATTCATTATAACAAAATTTTTCTTGTATTTCCCAATGAATGAATGAAAAAAACGATATTGTTGTTTCTACTGACGTTTCGCTATTTAATGCTGCTAACAGCTTCATCAAACTAAACCAGAATTTAGAAAACCTCTCTGCTTATATATAACAACTTAGTCATCTTTCCTCAGCATGGGGTCATTTTTGCGTTGTTGTTAAGTTGGCCAATTGTTAAAGATAACAAAACCAGGTAGGTGTAGATTGTTGGATTTGATAAGTGTGTAAACTTATAAAAACACCGTGTGTTTACATGATGAAATTGCTTATCACACTCGTGTTGATTTTGTCATTTCATAGGAGAGGGAGGGGATGTTGTAACCAGGTCAGATTCTGCTTTAGTCCATCATTCCTATTCATCAGACGATTTGGATTCCATTTGATATGAAGTGCTTCTGATGGCATTAGACGTTCTTTGTGATTTCTGAAATGCTTTTCTGGGTTATTTCAATATTGTCAAAATCAATTTTGTCGCCTGACTCTATAGCGTATCGTGTAGACGACCTATGACTGATGATTTTTCAAGCTTTTCTAGTTCACTAACTGGATTTCTCGGTGGTCGAACAGATGCTCTACGGTGTTCATTTCTTCTGATTTTGACTTCTCTCCGGCGATGTTTGTCCGATGTATGTCGCATCACATTCGAAGCAAGCATTTTATTTTACAGACACAATTAGATGGAGAATCTTTAGGCATTTGGTCTTTTATATGGACAAGGTTGTTTCGTAGTGTGTCTGATGTTTTGAAGAAAACTCTGATGTTGTGCTAATCCAGTACTCTTCTGATATCGTCTGACATTTCTGATCCATACATGCGGAATGATAACTGTTGAGGCCCATTGCTTCGGAATACGTTTTCGACCATACTTAATGTCAGTGTTGGCTTTTTTGATGAAGTCCCTTGGGTAGTTGTTTTGCTTGAGAATTTAAGTAATGTTTGATATGTCTTTTTCTTTCTCATCCGTAACCAGAGAGTGTGCTCGTCTAAAAAGACTTGAAACAACTGATATCTTTGCGTTGATGGGGTATGATGATCCGAAGTCTAATTATTTATTGGATTGAATTTTTTCCTGAATATATAGATACACTAAAATATCCATTTTCTGTCCTCTTAACTAGGCAGTCTAGAAATGGTAGTTCACAGAAATCAGAAATCACAAAGAACGTCCGATACCATCAGAAGCACTTCATATCAAATGGAATCTAAATTGTCTGAATAAAAATGATGGACTAAAACAGAATCTGACCTGGTTACAACACCCACTCCCTCTCCCATGAAATTACAGAATCAATTTCATAATGTAAACACATGCTGCTTTTATAATTTTACACACTTATTAAATCTAACAATCTACACTTGACTTTGTTATCATTATCAACTGGCCAACTTAATAACAACGCAAAAATGATCCCATGCTGAGGAATAATGATAATAATGGCTTTATTCCAAACAGTATTTGTGGTACAGGTATGGAATTTTCAGCGTTCATTACAATATTGCATCTAATTACCTCATAAATTTTATAAGGATTTAAAAATATAAAGCAACAACAACAAAAAGAAAAAAGAGAAATAAAAGAAATAAAAAAGAACAGCATTGCATTCACATATTTAAACAATGCACCACAGGATATGATATATAAAATGATGATTAAGTTGTTATATATAAGCTGAGTGGATTTTCCAAATTCTGGTTTAATAATACTACTTTGATAAAGCTACTAGCAGCAGCATTAAATAGCGAGACGTCAGTAAAAACAACAATATCGTTTTGTTTTTCATTCATTCACTGGGAAATGCAAAAACCTTTAATCCTAGTGTTATACATCTAATTCTTTCTTTGATTGAGACTGGATTCTAACAGCCGGGTTTACAATGTGGCCGCCATACCACTAGATGGCTCGCCATCAATGTGAACTCAGAATTATCATTACCAGATAGTTATAGGCAATTGGACTAGGACAAGACGCATGAGACGAGTTACTAACTTACATAATGGAATAGAAATCGCTTAGCAATAACAATTTCATTATTTTCTATAGTTTGGTTTGTAAGGGTTAGTTATGTTTTTAGGAGTTCGACCACGAAATTTCATGAAATCCAATGGACCAGTCCTACCCCCGATTGTACGTCAAACCCAAAATACACAAGCCAAATATCCCTTTACGACCAATTGTATCACTCCCAGGAACCCCAACATATAATTTATCCAAAGAATTATACAGAATACTGAAACGCTTAAAGGAATCTTGTGATCACTCCATCAACTGTGCTATCCAATTTCTAGAGGAAATCAGAGGCATCCAAATAGATGAACAAGAAATAATGATATCCTTTGACGTCACAGCATTATATACCTCAATCGGACAAAACCTAGCAAAGGAGACAGTGGAACAATTAGTCAGCAACGACGAACACCTCCCACAACAATCAAAAATGCAACACACAAGCTGAATAGAATGCATAAATCTATGCCTGACAACATACTTCCAATTCAACGGCCAGATATATGAACACGTCAAAGGAACACCCATGGGATCGCCAATATCAGGTTTGATTGCAGAAGCAGTGATGCAAAGGCTAGAAAACATAATCCTACCAAAGATCAAACCCAAGATTTGGATACGTTACGTAGACGACACATTTGTAATAATCAAAAGAAGCGAGTTAGATAAAACTCACAACTTAATAAACAACGTCTTCAACAACATCAAATTTACAAGAGAAGAGGAATCCGAGAACAAAATCCCATTTTTGGACGTCTTAGTCAAGCGAACAATCACAGAGGAATAAGAAGCTCCAGTTTATAGGAAATCAGCTCACACAGACCAAATACTCAACGTCAACAACAGCAACAATTCAATAACACACAAAAGGAATTGCATACAAACACTATTCAAGAGGGCCAGCCATGACTCATTACAGAAATCCCACCTCAAGGAAAATTGAAGAGAGATATTTCATGGACGTCTTCTAAAAGAATGGATATCCAAGGAATTTCATCAAAAGAAATATACCCCTAAGCCAACCTATCAAACCAAAAGCCCCCAGAGAAAGCACAAAGAAAATCACCCTGTCATTTATAAAGGATATATCAGAAACCACTACACGACTCTTCAAACCCTTAGGAATTGATGTCGTACACAAACCAACAAAATCACTTCACTCAGTTATATGTCAACCAAAAGACGAAAGAAGATAAAGCCAACATCATCTACAAAATAAATTGTAACAACTGTGAAAAACACTATATTGGCCAAAATGGACGTCCCCTTCGTCTTCGTATCCACGAACATAAGCTAGCCGTCAAAAGATACGACATCCTTTCCCTCATATTGCCTCACTACATACAGACAACCATGGACATCAATTCGACTGGAACAACCAGCTTTCAAATATTAGAGAGAGGAAACAACAAGAATGCTAGAGAATTTTTAGAAGCTTGGTATTCCACTGAATCGTCAATCAATAAGCACAGTGATATAGACAAAATTTACCAATCGATAAGAAAGAAACCTCACACACAAAGGGTCAAAGTTCAAGTCAAAGAAACAATCAGTTCCAATACAAGTAGCCTAGAAGGTGTGAAAACACAAAAACAACCAATCAAGTCCAAGGTCACCGGGAGAGATGACTAAGAAACTCGTGGAGAAATCTAAAAGCTGACTTCAACAAATTGAAGTATGCGCTGAAGATGTCACCTAGTAGGGCGATGAAAGCTTCGCAAATTAATTATCCAGCTCAGAGAACACAACCACATCAAAATCATCCATCTAAGCTACAAATCTTCTCCATCATATTTAACTTTACTTTCAAGCATCGACGTGACATACATGAACTAGTTAGTTCCCATGATGCCTGTAGCATAGACGGCACTGAAATTGAAACCAAGTCAAGCATTAAATACCTTGGATTAGTTCTTTCCTCTGACATTTCATGGTCATCCCACATTTTATTGATCTCTAAGAAAATGTTTCGTCTTACCTTCTACATTAAAAAGTTCAGACAATCAGGTATCAACCAACCTTAAGTTCTGCACTTTTTAAACTCTTGTATTTTACCTATTGTACTCTATTGTTCTCCATTAATCTTTCCTGGGCTTCTTAAAAAAGACTATGCCGTATTACGAAGGGTATTAAATGCTGTGAGTAGGGCTTGTCGTTTGCCACTGCGTGAGCTCGCCAATACAATAGTCGAGAGACACGTAAATTCCTGTACAAAGTGGGCAAAGGCCATACTGTCAGACCCTCTGCACCCTCTTCATTCACAACTATCCCCTTGTATCTCATCAGGTAGGACGAGAAGTCAATATACGAAATTATATGCTCGTACCACTAAGTACAAAAATTCTACAATACCGTATTTAGCCCGTATTTTATGTGATGAAGACTCTATTAGACGTGAAACATATAAGTTACTATGTAATTAGCATAGTGAATCAACCCTTTCATTGTTCATCTTTCTGTAATTTTATGGTGTCACCCTTTCTATCATTTAATTATAACTTAGCTATTCTTATTTTAGTTGTTATTACTATTATTACTATAATTTTATACTTTATGCGTATTTTTCTCCGTACTGCTTACAGTAATTTGCTAAATAGCTGCTATAAAAACGTTTTGTTATCATTATTATGTAATGATTATTTCGTTTATATATTTTTTGTTGTTATCGTTTTTGAGTAAATTAGATGCAATATTGTACTGAATGCTGAAAATTCCTTGCTATATCATTAGTACTGTGTTTGGAATAAAGCAAATTACCAAATTAAAAAATTAAAATTAAATTAATTTCATTATTGAACATCGAACAATAAATATAATATTTAATTAAATACAACCCAAAATGATCACTACTCTCACTTGAACTTCACCGAATACATCAGATAAATTATTTTCCATTGGATAGATTTGTAAAGTTTGTATAAAAAATTCTTTATAAAATGTAACACCAGATAGAACTTCATCTAATTGTTGTTCCCCATAACGAAATGTACATCGTATACGTGCAAATACTTTGGCGTTTTTCAAACTATTCTTATCCATGGTAACAACACCTTCGATAGGATCTACACTCTGCAGATCATCGAATATATCTCGTTGAACTAAGTAGACAACGAGTTTATTATTTGGACTATTCTTTTTGTAGACACTTCGTTTTGCAGACATAATTAGTGTTATGTTTGGTTATGTTTTATACAGAGTGAAACGTTTTATGTTTTGTTTTGTTCCACACAGAAAGGTAAATAAGAATTTGAAGCATATTCACCACCTATATGTATATATATATATATGTGGGGAAAATTGGACCCTGAGGGAGCTTAATCATTCTATCTAGATGCATCTGTTTGACACTGATAGTGGGTGTAGGCGCGTTTCTTCTCAGATTTATGTAAGGAAGAAAGGATTGACAGTAGATTAATAGGAAATTTGATAGGGATAAATATTAATTTCACTAGCAATAATAATAATAGTAATAAAAGAGGGAAAAAACAATGGAGTTTTGAAACATGAAGCCTATTAATTCCGATTTAATCTCTCTCTATAATTTAGATGAATAGCTAATGCCTGTTTAGTAGACTAATAAATGTATATATGAGAAGGAATGAGTAACATGGAATATTCATATAAAATTCTTTCAAACTCACTGTGTGTGTATGTGTTTGTTTGTTTGTGTATGTGAGGTTGAATCAAATTAACATGACTTCCGAGTGGAACCATAGGGCTGGCTTCAACAACGCATCTCCACTTCATACAATTGGTTCCCCTTATAAATTTCGTAAAAGAAAGGAAGGCGAAATTTGTAGTATAAAATGATATCATTCTATTTCACTGGTTCTCATCAGCTGCAAACTACCTGAAATTACAATGGTTATATCAATGATAATAACATACTTTAATGTTTGAGTAGTAATAGAGAAGAGATAAAATTGACGCATCCAAAAAAGAATGAAAGCATTACAATCTTTAGTTAAAGTTATCATCGTCAATTTATACAATTTTAAAGTTGAAAAGAGGGAAGAGGGGTAAGACAGAAAACAGAAAAATTGATTAACAGAAACAGTGTTAACTTGTAGGTTTACACAGCAACTCCAAAATCAAAGGCGGTTACAGTTTATGAGATTAAGAATTGTTCAGTGAGTTGAGATCACTGAATTAGATGACTAATCAAAATCAAAATTCAGTTACCAAGGGAGTGAGAGGTTAATCACACTCTCTTTCTGTATGCATAAATCTGGTCGGCTTGAATCGTTTGATTGCGATCACTTCGGCAAATCGTAGTAAATTTGCAGTCCTTTGTCTATTTAATGTTTTGAAGGACTTACAAATCTCTACGAGATGTCCAGTATCTACAATATGTCTGGTAATTGCATTCTGAGAATATTTGCTTCCTTTCAGGTATAGGTTTGTTGGAATATGTTCAGAAAACCGGATAGAAGCCCTTCTTTCCATCCTTCCAATGTACTTGCTCCCGCAGGTGCACGTAAATTCATATACGCGGTTGGAGGTGACATCAGCAAGGTATTTATCCAGTTTTGAGTGGGTTATAGAAGGAGTGGTGTTGTATACTGTTATTGCTGCTTTCAGTCTTCTGTCAATCTTTTGTGAAACTGCATCTCCTTTGAATGGGAGACAAATAAACACTTCTTTCTTTTCTACAGTTGGATGCTTTTCCTTCTTATCTTTTTCTCTGCTATACTTCTGTATAAATCCCTTAGGGTATCCATTTTCCCTCCGGCATTTCTAGACGAAATCTAGTTCTTCTTCGACCTTGTTTGGTGAACATAGCTTCCTGGCTCTGTCGTACAAAGTCCTCACTAATCCAGGTTTATAGCTTATGGGACAAAAGCTGTTATCTCCACTTCGTTCTGTTTTCTACCATCCTCTTCTTCTGGGTCCATGATTGACCAAACTCTCTCATCTCTTCCTCACACGATCTCCTCCATGTCACCCTCGCTCACACCGACGACCCATTTACACGCTTCTCACTTGGATTCCTCGCGACCAATGGCCTGTATCGCGCGCGATGTCATTCGGCGGCCTCCTCAGTGGCGTATGCTCGATCAATCTCCACTTTCTCCTACATATTTGTTGAGTGATCGGCTCTTGCTTGTTGGTTTTTTCCCATAGCTTCTTGTTGCTTATACTTTTGGCAATTTGATCTTTAGCACTAAGCCAGCGAAAGGGGCAGCTGTTGATGAAAGTCTGCCACTAGCTGTTGGAAATCCTTTCATTTACCCGCAGTGCAAGTTTCTGACCCCTAATACAAGAACTAACTTCACATTGGTGTTGAAAATGCGAATCTTGTTCCTTATGCTGAGTGCGGAAGATTTCCAAACTGGTTTCAGGTTGATGTAGGCATATCTTGCCTTTCCGATTCTGACTGACTTTGACATCTTCGTCCGTTCTGACTGCCTGTAGTTGAGACGATGCTTCCCAGATAGGTGGAGGAGGCAGCCTCTGTTAAATCTCTCCCATTGATGGTGATTTGTTCTGGTGGCTCTTGTTGTTGTTGTGGTTCGTTGGTTAGCTTCATCACCTCCGTCTTCTCTATGTTCACTTGTAGTCCTGTCTTCGCTGCATCTTCAGCCAGTATGTCGGTTCTTACCTGTAAGTCTTCGAGTTTGTGTGATATTAGACATATATCATCTGCACGTGAAATCCAGATCTTCTAGAGTCTTCTTGTCGGTCGTCCAGCGTAATTCTGACTCCTCGCTCCCCACAGTCTAACGCATAATCCAGTTCACCACAGTTAGGAATATCATCGGTGATAATAGGCAGCCTTGTTTTACTCCCGTATTCATTTCAAACGCCTCTCTGAGTTTTCCTTTATGAGTCACTTGACACCTGGCACTGTCATATAGCCAGCTGTTGAATGAGGTTGACAAAGACTCGAGCACTGCACACTGTAGTGTTGCACTAGTTTCCAAATTATTTCTCAGTCAACGCTGTCGAAGGCCTTTTCGAAGTCGTCGAGGTTGAGGTAGAGATTTGACTGCCATTCTATGCTTTGTTTGATGGAGTTGCAATTTGATGAGCACATGGTTTGCCTTTCCTGAATCCAGCTTGTCCCTGTGGGCAGAGTTCTGCATCCAGTGCATCCTCTATTCTCTCCAGGATGATGCGACTTAGTATTCTACTTGGCGTGAACTAGAGCATTATTCCACGCCAGTTCTTGCACAGACCTGCGTCGTCCTTCTTTGGCAGTTTGACGAGGTGACCTTCTTACAATCAGTAGGCACCTTTGCTTCTTTCCAAACATTTTGCAGTAGTGGAGTGAGAACATCTATCGTAATCTCTGGGGTCGTCTTCAGTGCCGTCTTTGGGAGGAATGGCATCTGGTCCTGCTGCCTTCCTGGACTTCAGTAGCTTGATCGCATTCAGGATTTCTGATTTAGTTGTAGGAGTGGTGTACACTGTCAGGCAGTTATGTGAGTCTGCTGTTGGTGGTTTTGCATTTTTTGGCGAGTTGCCGGTGGTGATCGATTCAAGAGTCCTTTAAAGTGGTCAATCAATTACTTTATTTGTTTCTCCTCCTTGGTGATCAGGTTTCCTCGAGCAACTTTTATTGGTTTCATCATCTGGGTTGATCTCTTCCCGGATGGACACTTGGTTGGAACAAAGGAGAGAACGAATATATTTGCTGGATAATACGAACCTATTTTCTTTCCTAATGTCGACCTGTAAATATGTGAACTTTACTCAACCTATCATCTATTTTATACTATTATTATTACTATCTGCTTGAGTTCGAAGTGGTGGAACATAGGGTTTCAACAACACATCTGCATGCTCTTTTGTTCTCTGTAGTCTTCATCAGTCGGCACCACGATTTCCCATAAGCTCTTCACTCCTCCTCACACTGTTTCCTTCATGTCACCCTCAGATACACAGCTCATTATTTCGCATTGAGATGCCATTCGAGGACTGGCTTGAGGAGTAATGTCGCTTAAAAGTCTCTTCGAAATGTGTGTCAGACCCACCTTCATTTCATATATGTCACGCTTTTGATTTATTTTGAGGAGTGACATTGCTAACCTCGTACACACTTTTCCCTCAATTGTGGGCTTACTGTTCAATTTCTCAGGTTGAATGACGCGATTTGGTAATGAATAAGGTATTTAAAAGTGTGATATGCAATCCAGAGGGAAAATCGATCGATGAGGTATTTTAACTTGGTTAATTGAAATGGCTAGGAACGTATAATATGCACATTGTGCCACTGCCTTCGACAGTCATCTGTTGTGATGAATTGAATCATTATTATTGTTTCCTTTAATTCCTAGAGGAATATAGGGCTTCAGCCGTGCGTCTCCATTGCGTTCGGTTCTCTGCCAGAGTCTTCACCTGGCTCTAAGTCTGCCCACATGCTAACATCATCTCCTCTTCACATGACCTCCTCCAAGTCACCCTCTCACTGATGACCAACTCGCCGCTTCCCTTTTGGGTTCCACTCGAGCGATGGCCTGTCTTGTGATGTCATTCGATGGTTTGTTTTCTCAGAGTATGGCCAATCCATCTCCATGTCTTCCTGTTTCACAATCGGTTCCTTGTTGGTTCGCTCCCAGAGGTCTCTGTTGCTGATCTTTTCTGGCCGGCCATCTGATCTTGATTATTGAGCGAAGACAACTGTTAATGAAGGTTTGTAGTTTGTTTTAGATGCTCTTTATGACGCGCAGTGCAAGTCTCTGATCCGTATAGCGAGTAGCACTGACTCCACATTGGAGTTGAAAATCCGGATCCTATTTTTGATGCTGAGTGCTGTTGACCTCCACACAGAAGTGAAGGTAGTGAAAGTGATTAATTCGCTGTCACCGGTAATACAGTCTCTCATAGCATACTCTTCGATCTCTAGTAGTGATTCATTGTGATATCCCCTGACAAATGTTCATTCCTTTTTTTTGTTTAACTTTATACTACTTGCAACTGGTAAGTAGTATGAGTGTATTTGTTACTTCATAACCATGGCTTTGTTTGATATTGAAGTTTAACTTGTTTGATGTTTTAATACTTTATTTGATGTGCGATAATTAATTTCTTATATCTGATTATTTTCTGCTGAATATGCCTCATTTATATACCCTTTAATGTTGAACATTGTTTATTCCTATCCCATTATTCTGTGCCTGGCATTCGCGCGCACTGTTTAAATCGATATACATGGATCGTGTTTGACACAGGTTTGCTGTTTCTCTTTTCGATGCCGATTTACTGAGCATTTGATGACATTCATCCACAGGT